TGACTGTGGGAAGCAGGAGTGAAGTCGGCCAAAAACCTCCTGCTGAGGTCGGCCGAAAGCGCGCTCTTCACCGCCGAGGAGCTGGAGAGCGTGATGGTGGGCATCGAGGCGGTGCTAAACTCGCGCCCTCTGGGATCAATAAGCCCCGACCCAAGCGACGGAGACGCCCTGACTCCCGGGCACCTGCTGACAGGCGGGCCGCTCATCGCACCCCCAGGAGGACTGACCGGACCCCGGACCAGGAGGGTCTGAGTTGCTTAAGGCGATGGCGGCTTGTCTCGTCAGCCAGGCAAATGTTCTAGCAGCGATGGTCCCGGGAGTATGTGCTGGGCTTGCAAATAAGATGCAAGTGGCACCAGGAGCAGCCCAACGTCGAGGAAGGCGACCTCGTCATCGTCGCAGAGGACAACCTTCCGCCCCAACAGTGGCTCCTCGGAAGGGTCGTCGCAACACACGCCGGGCAGGACGGAAAGGTCAGGGTGGTCGACCTCAGGACGAGCAGCGGAGCGGTCTACAGGAGGCCGATCCATAAATTGGCGCTTCTGCCGATGTGTTGAAGTCCCACAGGCCTTCAACGGGGCCGGTGTCGCGTCAAGACGTAATGTTTTTATTTGGAGAAAATTTGAAGTCTAGTGTAAGATAGTTTAGGGCGAAGCGGGAGCGCAATAAAGCTCTCTCTCGCTCTTGGCGAATTCGCCCCGCTTCGCCGCCCTAGATAAGTTAGGCTTAAGAATATTTTATAACGAGAAGGAAAAAAAGAGTCGATAAATAGTATTGAATTCGAGCGCACGTCCCTTTTTTAGTCTCCCTCCGTCTTTCGTTAAATATATAAAATTTGCAACCACCAAACTCGGTTTTTTTGTTAAAGTTCATTTAGAAAAACTATTCTAAAATTTCAAATATGAAACATATTAAATTTAAATATGAAATATATTAAATTTAAATATGAAACATATTAAATTTATATACGAAACATTTTAAATTTAAATATGAAATATATTAAATTTGTATTATTTTAATATTTATATCAAAATTTAAGTGAAAAATATTCAATTTTAATACAACCACTCCTGGATGAAAATCAATCAAATCAATAAATATTAAAATCTAAGTGAAAATATTAAAATTTCAGGTCTGTTTTCTATCGGTGTAAATATTATAACGTTTTAAATCAAAGTTCTTTTAACTGATTTTGGAAAGATATAGGTGCCAACCCCCTCGGAGAACTACCATCTTGCCGCGATGAGGGGGCTTAGTAAGCGTAAGGAACCCAAGAGCTTTACCGGCGGTAGCGTAATGCTGCCAGAAGGGCCACCCAAGCCGGGCAGGTCATGGGGGAGCGCCGAAGCTAAAAGTAGTTCAGCCTGGCGGTAGGGATAAAACGCATCCGTTATAGGGGAATGTCCGATAACGAAAGAACAGTTAAGGTGCAGGGAGTCGGAGACCCAGTACCGGCGGTGATTGGGGGTGCGAGCGCAGGCCCCCCGGCGTCGATATCCTGTGACTGCAGGAAACCCGAGATGGCAGTGGAGTGCTTGGCTGCCAAATCGTGCAATGCCACAAGCAACAGAAGGATCCGCAGACAGAAAGGGACGATAGAGGATCTGGAACCGGGAACCACAGACGGAAGCTTCGTCTTCACTGGTCCCTCAGTGTCGGAGGCAGAGTTGGCTACCGCCTTCTCTCGACTCGGATACAACGAGGAGCCGCAGAAGGCGGAGCCACAAGTCACGGCTCCCAACATCCAGGTCAACTCGGGTCCACTAACTGTGACGGATGAGAAGACGGAGGCTGAGACCCTACGCAAACGGCTGTCGGGATACAGGGCATCGGCAAAATACCTCCGTGGTATTAGCCAAAGACCCCCCGATACGCTGACGGCGAGGGAAAGGAGCCTCAAGAAGAAGCACGAGCAAAACGTGCGGAGGTACGAGCGGCTTAACGGAGTCGCTCCTACCAACGGAGACAAAGCCCCCCCAAGCGCACACGCGGCGGTGACTGAGGACCCCAAACCGTCGACTTCAGCGTCAGCATCAGCCGGCACGAAGACGAAGGTGGACCAACCCTCAAAGTCATCGTCTGCGAACGCGCGAGGGAGAAAGGGGAAAAAGTTGTCCGGGAAGCAGAGGGGGAAGACCACACCTCTGACGCAGAACACGGCGAGTGCCAAGGCACCACCAACGCCCTCTGTACAGAAGGCACCGGTGGAACCGACTGGTCGAGAGCCAAGGTTCAAGCGATAGAGAACGGACGACTCCACAAAAGCTTCCGAGTCGAAGAAGGCGAAACCAGATGACATTCTGGCCAGCCTGGGATCGCCGGCCGAGCTGCAGGTAGCCATCATCGACCAAAGTCACCCAGAGGGGAAGATATCGGACGTCAATTGGCTGAAGGCAGAATCGGAGATCCTGACCGCCATGAAGGATGCCATTGTGCGCGCAGATAACCCGTTTGTCTGCGAGTTCAAGGGTATCAAGTGGTATAAGGGAGCCAAAGCAGTGGCCTGTGGCAATGCAGAAACTCTTGAGTTTCTCAAAACCACGGTCCAAGGTTTTGGTGAACTTTGGCCAGGAGCGGCACTCCGCGTGGTCCCGACGGATCAGATTCCCAGGAGAACGATCATGAAGGTATGGATTCCTCCCCCGATTAAGGCGGATGAGGACACACTCGTTCTGATCAAGGCACAGAACCGGATCCTGGAAACATCTGACTGGACCATCACAAGAGCGATAGCGCGAGACAAGGGGAACGGCAAGGAACTCACTCAAGTATACCATCGGCGGACCTGCTGCGGTTTATGGAGGAGAAGGCGGTGGACGTGGCCCTCATCCAAGAGCCCTGGATCGTAAGTGAAAGGGTTCGGGGACTGAACGGTCTCGGATACCGCCTTCTCACGCCACACCCCGCGGGTAAGCCAAGAACCTGTATCGTGGTAAGGAACGAGCTTAATGTTCTGTTTTCTTCCAGGTACAGCACTCCGGACCTAACGGTGGCACTATGTGAGAGGGAGGACGGGAAAAACCTATACCTAGCCTCTGCATACCTGCCGTACGAAGAGGAAGACCCACCCTCGGAGGATGTCAGGGCCCTGATCCACCAAGCGCGGAGGGAGGGACTTGATATTGTCTTAGGCTGTGACGCGAATGCCCATCACTCCCTCTGGGGAAGTACGGGCACAAATTCTAGAGGAGAGTCGCTGTTCGAGTACATTCTGTCCACAAATCTTGTTGTGTGCAACCGGGGAGACCACCCCACCTTCCGCAACAGGAACCGTGCAGAGGTTATAGATATAACACTGGCCTCGAATAGCGACTCCCTTACCATCGATGACTGGCACGTGTCCAGTGAGTGTTCCTTTTCGGACCACTACAGGATAGTGTACAGCATCAAATGGAACAAGGAGAGGCCCAAGGCCTACCGCAATCCCAAGCGGACAGACTGGAACCGCTTCTCCGCAACCGTACAGAAGGTGCTGCCTAACCCACCGGAAGGGGACATAATTCAAACGGAAGCACTAGAGAAAGCTACGCAGACCGTCCCTAATGCTCTACAGAGGGCGTTTCTCAAATCCTGCCCGATCAGCCGACCCCCAAAGTCCAATCACAACCCGTGGTGGACACGGGAGTTGAGCGAAGTCAGAAAGGAATCGAGGAAACTCTTCAATAAAGCAAAAGTGACAAACACACAGGAAAGTTGGGACGAGTATCGCCGCAGCTTCAATACCTACAAAAACACCTGTAGGAGGGCGAAAAGGGAATCATGGGCAGCCTTCTGCGATGCCATAGATGGTACCACTGAGGCCTCAAGGCTTCGACGCGTACTGTCGAAGGCACCCACCACACCAGGCCTGCTCCGCAGCCAGGACGGTACCTTCGCAGAGAGCAGCCAAGAATCCCTGGAGCTCCTCATGAGTACTCACTTCCCGGGTTGCTCAGATGTCACCGGTGACGAATCCAACGCCACCAACGACACTGAGGATCATCCAGGAGAGGAAATCGAGGATCTCATACGAAATATAATGGCACCAGACAAGATTATCTGGGCCATTAAATCATTCAGTCCCTACAAGTCACCGGGACCGGATGATATCCGACCAGCCATGCTGCAAGCAACTTGCCTGCACCTACTACCATGGCTGAAGAAAATATTCGAAGGATGCCTCCTAACTGGGTACGTCCCCCATGGGTGGAGGGAGGTGAGAGTGGTCTTCATCCCCAAGGCCGGGAAGATAAACCACATCTCCCCAAAGGACTACAGACCCATCAGTCTGTCGTCATTTTTGCTTAAAACGATGGAGCGACTGATGGATCTATATATAAGAACCAAGCTAGACAAACAAGTGTAAAGAGCTGTTAGTCAACAGAAGCAGTCCACTCTATGGGGGTCTGTTATACGCACGATAGGCCATAGCCATCGATAACAACAGAGGCGATACTTACTTAAGAAGTCGAAGCGAACAAGATAACACACGTTCAAGAAAACCTTATTTTCAATTAATTCATTCTACATATATTGTTCAACTTATTATATCCAATAAACACTACTATACTACTCAAAAGCCATCCCTTCACAGTTCAGAAGTGGGATTAGTAGAGTTGTTATGTGTAGAGCGTAAAAGTTTTAAGAGAAACTCAAGAAAAGCGGCAAGAATCGTCGGCGTGGGAAGTTTGCAATGGGATATGTTCCCTAAGGTCTGTGTGACAAAGAAAATTGCAAATTACGGAGGTGTTCCTTTTCTACGCGGCAGACGGATTCAACGTTCAGCGATCAGGAATCTTAGTGAACCTGGACAGAAAGAGTCTCAAGAAAGTGCATCAGGAATCTGTGTGAGCCTATCAATATACGCTAATACATACAAAAGGCTTGTGTGTGTATGTAGCGTCGTTGTGAAATTCACAAGTGGAAGCCCAACGTTGTGAAATACAGTCATATCAGTTGTCTCGCTTGCACCAAACTGATTGTGCGAGCAAGTTAAAAGAGGGGCGACTATATCAGCGAAAATGGTCAAAATTGCGGATCTTAAGGTGGACCAGTTACGGTTCCTGTTAATAGAGCGGAACTTGGCAGTTTCGGGCTCCAGAGCCGAATTAGTACAACGACTAATTGAGTTTGAGAAAACCGAAGACGTAGAGATGCCACAAGCAGCTGGAAACATAAGTCAACATGAGGAGGAGACACTGACGTCACATGCGGCGGCAATTTCACACATGCAAAATGAAATGACGGAGCTGAAGAATATGATGGTTCAGTTGGTCATCATGCAACGACAAAACGCGGAAGCAACAGCATCAGGTGAAACAGCACAAGCGGCAGCAGCAACAACAAACCACCAGCAGATCAGAGAAGAAAATACCGAAGGTAGACAGGCTACCAATTACGTAAGGCAAGCGTCGGTCAAGGAAATAGCAAATACCTTGCCGGACTATGACCCCAGCGACGATAACGCCATCTCCGTAGACCAGTTCATCGATCGTGTCAACAGGGTAGTTGAGGCTTACCAATGGGACGAGAAGTTTCTTTTGCTCGCCATTAATACGCGGCTTAAGGGTCCCGCTAAGATGTGGCTCGACTCGTCGCCGGTTCTACACACCACATGGAGTGACTTCGCTGCAGCTATAAGAGACGAGTTTGGATCTAACCCAGATGAGGCAGAAGTTCACTTCAATATGGCCAATGCAACCAGAAGATCAAAGGAGTACTGTTTCCGGATGTCCGCCCTTGGCGTGCGGTACAAGCTTAGTGAAGCAGCTGTTATAAGATATGTTAGATCAGGTATACAGAATCGAGAATTGCAAAATAGTATTGCCGCAACTCAGTTTTCGTCAATGAAGCAGTTTCGTGATGCAGCCGAATCGTATTTTGTAAATAGAGGTCGACCAATCGCAAACAAAAAGGAGTTCGTACCAAAAGGCAGCAACTTTGAGACAAAGCAGGATTACGACGTAAAGCCAACAAAGCCAAAGGAGGCTCAGAAGTGCTACAATTGTGGAGAATTGGGGCACTTCGCTAGTTCATGCCAACAAGAAAAAAACAAGTCGCGTTGTACCAACTGCAATAAGTTTCATGCACGCAATGAGAAATGCCAACCGGCAGATATGATGCGTTTGGGTGCCGCGAATCTCGACAAGCTATTCACTAGGAAAATCTACATAAAGTCGTACATCTATAGCGCCTTCATTGATACTGGAAGTCAGGCTAGTATCATGCGCCAATCAGTTGCCAAACAAATCAACGCTGATCGCCACAAGTGCTCTATGAAGATTCGAGGCATTTGTGGGGGTTCCTGTATCCTGACTGAAGCAATGGTTGTGGATATGGACATCGATGGAAAAATGATTACGGCCGAAGTATACGTAGCAGACGACGACCTGCTGCAAGAGGACTTTCTGTTAGGACAAGACGTCATCATTAGCGGTCAGCTATCGCTGAAGTTTGAGTCAGGCGACACCGAAGTGAAACGTGCTGTTCATCAACCGGTAGCGTTTGTAAGCGACAACCTAACTACAAAACTTCTTGTCAATCTACAGAACCAGCAGGAAAGAAGTAAAATGGGCGGTTTGCTGGAGAAGTTCAACCATGTTTTCTCCACAGGACTGCAAGGCATAGGCAAAACCAACATCGTCCAAGCCAACATTAGCGTTGAGAGTGGCCAAGTGGTTTCGCAAGCGCCATACCGAGTATCCGAGCCAAAGAAGGAAATTGTAAGCAGAATGGTCGAAGAGCTGTTGGAGCAGGATATTATCATACCATCCACGTCAGAGTACGCCAGCCCAGTGGTGCTCATCAAGAAGCCAAACGGTAGTGATCGACTCTGTGTTGATTACCGCCGTCTCAATAAACTGATCAAGAAGGAAAATTTTCCTGTACCGAACATCGAGGAGCGTCTGCAGGAGGCGAAGCGATTTAAATACTTTTCTTCTCTGGACCTCAACAGCGGTTATTATCAGATAGAAGTAGCACCGGAAAGTAGAAAGTTTACTGCATTCATCACTACGGATGGACTGTATGAGTTCAAGCGACTTCCTTTTGGACTAAAAACTGCACCTGCTGTATTCAATCGACTCATGGCAGAATTACAGAAGCGAGTGCAGAAAGGCGACATGATACATTATATGGACGACATCTTAATTGGTAGTCAGACGTTTGACGAGATGTATGAGAAGCTTGAGCGAATCCTCCAAGTATTGCAAGAGTGCGGACTAACGCTAAATCTGGATAAATGTGAATTGTTCAAGCAAACAATTACATTCCTGGGTCATCAGATACACGCAGACGGCATCAGTCCTGGAGAGGTTAAGACGAACGCTATTGCATTGTTCTCGACGCCGAGCAATGTGACTGAAGTACGGCAGTTTTTGGGTCTCAGCGGTTACTTCCGGAAATTTGTTGCCGGATATGCCATTATTTCGGATCCCCTGCGTACCCTGGTGCGCAAAGACCAGACGTTCAAGTGGGAACAGCCACAACAGGATGCATTTGACGAGTTAAAGAGACGCCTAATATCGAAGCCCGTTGTCACCAGTTACCGACTCGATGCTGAGCATGAGCTACATACGGATGATAGTGCCGTTGGCTTAGCCGGAGTATTGCTGCAGAAGGATGAGGATCAGATGAAGCCAATTGCTTACTATAGCCGAGCAACGTCCAAACCAGAGAAGAACTACCACAGTTACGAACTAGAAGCTCTAGCCGTCGTCGAGTCGTTGGAGCGATTTAAATATTACATATATGGTAAGCGTATTAAAGTCGTTACCGATTGTAATGCCCTGAAAACATCAATGGAGAAACGAGAGATTATACCCCGAATTGCAAGATGGTGGCTACGTATACAAGAATTTGACATAGACATTGTTCATCGAGCTGGAACACAGATGAATCATGTTGACGCGCTAAGTCGAGCTCCATTTGAGGATGCACATGAGATGGACACAGCATCCCTGCAAATTTCGAAGACCATCATCGACGAGGCTGATTGGTTGTTTGCCATACAATTGCAAGATGAGAAAATCCAGAAGATTGTCGCTGAGATGAACATTGATAAGAAATCTGAGACCGACGAGTATGTGATCGAGCAAGATCGCCTGTTTCGCAAATATGACGGCAAACTACTATGGGTTGTGCCGAAGCAGCTAAGATTCCATATTTTACATGAATGTCACGACAAGGCTGGACACATGGGCACAGAGAAAACCATTAATCGGATTCTAAATTTGTTTTGGTTTCCCCGAATGCGCAACTACGTTAAAAGCTACATAAAGTCATGTGTGGGCTGTGCGCTGTATAAGATACCAGGTGGACGTCAGGAAGGACAATACCATTATGATGACATCCATCCGATCCCTTTTTCGACCGTACATATGGATCACCTGGGACCCTTCCCAAAGAGTTCAAAACGGAATGAGCACATTCTTGTGATTGTCGACGCATTCACTAAATTTACCATAGTGCGAGCTGTAAAAAGTACAGCCACGAAACACGTTATTGATATCCTGCAGGAGGTAACCAGCTACTTAGGAATGCCAGATCGAATCATTACCGATCGCGGTACAGCTTTTACTGCAAAGGATTTTGAAAAGTATTGTAAGTCGAATAATGTAAAGCACATACTCAATGCTGTAAAGACACCGAGAGCGAACGGACATGCAGAGCGAACCAACCGGATTATTTTGTCAATGTTATTGCCTTCAAATGAAAATGAAAAACGATGGGACGACCAGATACGCTCAATTCAATGGAGCATCAACACCATGGTAAATAGTACGACTAAATGTTCCCCATTTCAGCTATTGTATGGTTATGAGCCACGAGATATCCTCAAGAACACAGTGACAAATGCGATCCAAGGCCCGGATCTGAAGATGCTGACAGATGACGAGTTGGAAAAGCTACGAGCAGATGCTGCGACTACAGTCAACGATCATAGGGCTGCTGCGAAGAAACGTTACGATGCTAGACATTCCAAGCCAACCGTATATACCCTTGGTGATCTTGTGTTAGTCGAGAATGAGCCGTTTAGCACAGGAACATCACGCAAATTGGAGCCTCGCTACAAAGGTCCATTTATTATCAGCAAGGTGCTGCCAAACGACCGATATCTAGTAGAAGATATCCCTCATGCCCAACGAAAGCAAAGGCACTATAAGTCGGTGTATTCTTCTGACAGAATAAAATGCTGGTGCGAACTCCCACCCGATGAACCAGATGAAGATGACGACATGGAAGGCGACTCACCCTACGAATCTCGCGAGGACGCTGCGATTTTTCAGGAAAGGCCGACTGTAAAGAGCTGTTAGTCAACAGAAGCAGTCCACTCTATGGGGGTCTGTTATACGCACGATAGGCCCTAGCCATCGATAACAACAGAGGCGATACTTACTTAAGAAGTCGAAGCGAACAAGATAACACACGTTCAAGAAAACCTTATTTTCAATTAATTCATTCTACATATACTGTTCAACTTATTATATCCAATAAACACTACTGTACTACTCAAAAGCCATCCCTTCACACCTACCTCAAAGGTAGATCAGCTGAGACCGCACTACACGAAGTTGTTGGGCATATCGAAAAGAGTCTAAGCTATAAGGAATATGCCTTGGCGGCCTTTCTAGATATAGAAGGGGCCTTCAACAACGTCAGGATCGAGTCAATAACGGACGCACTGGCCAAGATTGGTACACACCCGACGGTAACCGGATGGCTAGACAGCGTTCTCAGGAGCAGAACGATAAGCGCCAATCTAGGCTCCTCCTCGTCAAGAAAGACGGTCACACGAGGTACTCCGCAAGGGGAGTTATATCCCCCTCTCCTGTGGAACCTGGTCCTCAACGACTTCCTCTTCAGCTGGGAAGGAGCGGATATGAGGTTACGGACTATGCAGACGATCTAGTAATACTGGTAACAGGTAAATTTCTGCCCACAATCAGTGACCTTCTAGAATCTGCACTGGGCACTACCGCCAGCTGGGCACGCCAGAACGGTTTGGGGGTCAATCCTCAAAAAACAGAACTGGTGCTGTTCTCACGAAGATATAAGATACCGAGTTTCAAACTACCAGCAATCGGTGGAACGACACTCGAGCTATCGAGCGAAGCCAAGTATCTTGGTGTCATCCTTGACTCCAAACTCTCCTGGAAGAGAAACACGGAGGAAAGGAAGAAAAAGGCAATGGCAGCTTTCTACACCTGTAGGAAGACTTTTGGACGAACATGGGGCTTACAGCCGCACATCATCCATTGGATGTATACAGCGGTAATAAGACCCATCCTGACATACGGAGGCATGGTATGGTGGGAAGCGGTTCACACCAAATACCACCTGGAGAACCTCCGTAGAGTCCAACGGACAGCATGCCTTGGGGTCACCGGATCTCTCAAATCCACCCCACAGGCAGCTCTGGACACCATGTTAGGCCTGGAACCGATAGACCTTCATCTTAAGTGCAAGGCTGAGACAAGTGCCGCTAGGCTATTAGCCGCGCAGTTCTTCAAGCCATCGCCTTATGGCCACGCCACTATACTCCGTATGGAAGATAGTGGAACGGCCAGGTGGAGTGACTACTGTGTCTCAGAGTTCTCATGGAAAAGAAACTTTAAAGGACACATACCGGATAGGGAGAAATGGAAGAGTAACACTGTCCTGGGGCAGAACGAGCTCTCCATTTTCACCGACGGGTCAAAGACGGCCGAAGGGACAGGAGCTGGAATCTTCTCCGAAGAACTAGCAACCAACATATCCCTAAGACTACCAGACTGGTGCAGTGTATTCGAGGCGAAGATATATGCAGTATGGCAAGCGGCAAAGTTGGTATACACCTTGGAGATACCTCCGAGGAACATAGCAATCTGCGTTGACAGTCAAGCAGCCGTCAAAGCCCTGGTATCCTGCAAGACCACAAGCAGACTCGTACGTGATACGGTGGACGCACTAAACCAGATCAGCGCGCACTCAATCACACTCACGTGGGTTCCGGGTCACACCGACATAGCGGGCAACGAGAGTGCGGACGAGTGTGCCAGAACTGGATCGGCCAAGCCAATGGCGGACGCAGTCAGCGACATAAGGAGACCACTACGAGACATCATCTCGCAGATGATGGGCCGAGCCAGAACGAGATCGGACAGGAGGTGGAACACCACACCCAACTGTGAGATCTCTCGCTCGCTCTGGCCCCACTATGACCTTAAACGCACCAAGACTCTCCTAAGCTTCAGGAAGAGTCGGGTGCGAACACTGACGGGAGTTATAACGGGGCACTGTGTCATCGGCCGCATGGCCACAAGGTACAGACTGCCCCACCATGACTTCTGCCGCAGCTGCAGGGACGAGGAGGAAATAGAGAGCATCCAGCACCTTCTCTGCAACTGTCCTGCACTCATGGGGAGGCGTCACCGAATACTCGGTGGCGCCTTCTACGAAGATCTGGACAGCCTGGCAAACATGCCTCTAGAGAAACTGGTGCTCTTTATAGAGGCCTCGGGATGGTTCGCGAAACCTCCCTAGGCACCGGACAATATCCCGTGACGAGTGTGGGCATCACAATGGGCAGACTTGCCTCCGAGTGACCTCGACTTCAGTCGAGCAGCCCTATAAACCTAACCTAACCTAGGTGCCAAAAAAGCTTGGCATCTCAAACAATGTGCTTGACTAATGTCTACTAAATAGGCGAAGAGGCAATTGTCATAGTCGAAGATTAATTCTTTTTTTTTTTTTTTGATTAAATCATCGCATGGATGACGGGGTTTGATCGCAGCTATGTTGCCACATTGATCAGGTACTGGTGTGTGACTTATTGTCCGATTATTCAGGTTCGGACGCTTGATGGGCCCAAGGTGTGTGAATATGTGTTTAGTGAGATCTTGAATGTATTGTTTAAAAAATTGTTTGTGAAAATTATATCTTTTTTGTAATTTTTTTAATATATATATATCTATTTTTTTTTTTTTAAACAGGCCTCCCCTTTTGGCCTGCACAGACTTCCTGTCAGCGAGCTTGACAGGCGTTAAAAGTCATTTCCCTATACTTTATTAATCTAAAATGATTTATCACAAAATGCTTAAAAGTCCATATTAGCGCTTTTTATAAACTGTGCCAGTTCTCTGAGGTGGAGTGGCTCTTTTTTGATCAAGAGTTCATTTAGATCCTTATAATATTTAAAAATTCGATACTTACCCCTAAGACGGACGAATCTTTGGCATTTAAAAAGCAGATGTTCAGCGGATTCTGTAACATTACATGACTCACAGATATCCGAATCAATCGCTTTAATTTTGTATAGAAAGGCTTTATCGTACGTGTGTCCTGTCATCAGTCTATTTATTGTCTTTATGCTTTTTGCATTCCATTTTAAATTATAGTGCCATGGTTTTTTGGGTATATTTGGAAAGATTTCAATTAAACTGGTGCACTTGTTACTACATTTTTGTTTATACTCCTCGTTCCACTTGTGTTCTAAGGAGTTTTTAATTTCTCTTAAGGCTTCTTTCACACTAAATTGAATGTAAATGGTTTCCCCTTCTCGTATGGCGTCTTTTGCTGCCATATCAGCCTTTTCGTTTATCGTTACCCCTTTGTGCCCTGGAATCCATAGAATATCCAGTTTTTGCATGCCTGATGTGTCGATAATATTGTGAATGTCTCTTACTATGTATGAGTCTGTTTGTTCATTGTTTACTAGTTTTATCGCTCCTAGACCATCACAACAAATAACAGCTTTCTTGTATCCATTATTGGCACATATCTCACTCGCTTTTCTAATACCTATCAGTTGGGCCCCTACAGATGAAAGCCTATTTACTGTTCTATATTTATATATATTTCCACTGGGTAACTCTACAATTCCTATACCGCACCTGTCCTGCGTGACTGATGCATCTGTGGACAGAATATTCCAGCCTTCTTTTGAATATTTTTCCAAGATTTCAGAGAATCTGGCTCTGATTTCCTCCCTCGAGTATTCTTCTTTGTTCTTTGTCATTTCTTTTTCTCTTACATTAATCTTTTTACAGTGTTTATAATTATCACAGCTTTGTGAATTGTCGAAGAAAGTTTTAAATTCTTCTAAGGTACAAGTGTAACTCGTCTTTGCTTTTGATAGTCTTATGCTGTCGAACATCCTGGGATTCAGCTTCTTGACCTTGAAAAGTTCTTTGGCTGTAAGCCACTTAGCCCTGAAACTTGGAGGCATTATTCCCGCCAACACAAAGATTTCGTGCTTGCTTGTATCAGGAGGCACACCTACACATCTTCTCAGCACTCCTGCCTGTGCAATTTCCATGTCTTTATTGGACCCAACTCCCATGTCAGAAAAGCTGGTAATTGCATATTCTTGCTTGCTTCTTATAAACGATTTGAAGATATTAACGCTAGTCTTAGGTTTCAGTCCCGACTTAATAGTTGTCGCTAATTGTATAAGCCTACTGCTTTTCCTAGTTACTTCTTTTACCATTTTTATATGACTGGTATTGGACACGTTAGAACTTATAAGCCTGCCTAGAAATAAAAAGCTTTTTTTCACTGGTATTAGAACATTTTTAACTTCTATGTTCAGAGACCTTCCACCTTCCCTTCCTATGTTCATAATCACAGATTTGCTAGGATTGAAACTAAAACCCAGATCGCCACATAATAGGCTAAATCGTTTAATTTGTTTTTCAGATTTGCAACTACAGCCGCATAGTTATACCCGTGTGACACCAATATAAAATCGTCGGCAGTCCCCTACCTGATGTAGTCTTTTGGTGTAGATATTAAAAAGTAGTGGTGAAAGACATGATCCCTGGGGTAATCCTCCTTGCACCACTTCTACTGCATCTCCCAGTCTTAGCAACCTAATGGACATGAAACTTATAATCCAGTCCACATACATTTTCGGAAAACTTTCATTTTCCATTAACATCTTTAAAAAATTCAAATTTACACAGTTGTAAGCGTTGTTTAGGTCAACAGCCGCTACTATCACATGCTCCTTGCTTTTTTTCCTTGCAGCTACCTCATTGATCAAATCATTAATGCACATTGCAGCTGACTTATCCTTCTGATACGCATAAGACCTATAGGGTAGAATTTCGTTGTCCTGTATATATTTTTCAAGCTTGATTTTGATAATACTGTTAACTGTTTTAGCCAGGACCGATATTAAGGATATTGGTCGAAAATTTTTTATGTCTGATAGATCTTTGTTTTTTTTTGGGATTGGCGTGATTTTAATCGTGCGCCACTCAGCTGGTACTTCACAGTTAGCAATTTTGTTGTTGTAGAATTTGACTAATTCTGCCTTAGTGTCCCTGTTTAA